TGTTAGTATCTCGTCATCAGAAGACAGGCGGGCAAAATTATCTTAGGGTGGCTAATAAATCCTTTGAAAGGGTTACAAAGTTCAAATATTTGGGAACAACAATAACAAATCAAAATGATACTCGTGAGGAAGTTAGGAGGAGACTAAATTCCGGAAATGCTTGCTACTTCTCAGTTCAAAATATTTTGTCTTCCCATTTGATTTCTAAGAACATGAAAATTAAAATATACAAAATAATAATTTTTCCTGTTGTTTGTATGGGTGTGAAACATGGTCTCTCACTCAGAGAGAGGAACACAGATTCCAGGTATTTGAGAATAGGATGTTGAGGAGGATATTTGTTCCTAGGAGAAAAGACGATGGGGTCTGGAGAAAACTGCATAATGATGAGCTTAAAAAACACAACTGGCAGAATTACGCTTTGGTTCACTTTAATCTGTAGTCTTCTTTTGATATAAGACGCGAGGACAAAAGATTTTGGCTAAATGATGCAATCATTCCCTGGATTTAATCTGCTGTTGTTTTTGTCATAAATTTCATTATGGCTTTTTAGTGTCGTCCCCAATTACATAACTTTATCACATTTTCGAACGACTGATTACCTATCCTTATATTCTGGTTCTGTCATGAATTCTGATGCCGAGACATTATCATGTACTTTGTCTTTCTGCATTTATTTCTAGACCAACATCCCTTCCAGCCCGTAAGTGTGTTTCTACGTTGGCTCTTATAGTATTTATATTATCAGTCAACAGATTAATACCATCAGCAGAGACCAACAGCTGATGTGTCACTTTCAGTTCAAAATCGCCATGACTTTTTTGAACTTTTTAATGGCATGTTCTAAAGCAAAATTGAAAAGCAGCGGCGATAGAGAATCTCCCTGTTTCAAGACATTCTGAATAGGAAATATATCGGACAAATGCTTACCTCCCACTTTTTCTCTAGCATTTGGCGAATTAGAACATCTGATCAGTTGCACATCTATTACAACGGAACGCACACTGATGATTCCCAATAATTCCATTGGGATATGGAGTCACATCTCCAGAAGAATTTTGGATACAATTTTATAGGAAGATAACAAGAGGAAGAAATCTCGATAATTTGGCTTTTAAAACCGAAATAAAAATTTTTCACACTTCCTTACATCGCTTTAAAAATGTCGATGTATCAAGAAATGTAAAGTGTCAGAATTATTATTCAGAATATATACAACACTTTTTAACATCAATATAGGTTTTATTAAGATTCTGGGCTACTAAACACGTTTCATCCCTTCAAAATTTTAAAATGTTAATTGATTTCTGGAATATTATGATAATGTGAACAAACAGAAGTCAATCTAATATTCATTGAAATTGTGTTAGAAAGAAGAGAAGCCTAATTTTCTTACAGAAGCTCATAAATGTAAATGAAGACATGCAAATGTACTTATCAAAAGTAATTAAATCCAATTAATTATTAAAATGTTTGCCAAAAGCAAGAAGCCAATGACAGGCAAACACAGATAATTTTTTTTCAATTTTCAATTCTTTTTATAGTAATTCAATTCAATTTAATTCAATTCAATTAATAAAGTTCCTAGGAAACAGACAGATTAATAATTAAAATAAAGCAAAAAATAACATGATTATTTATAAATGAAGCAATACTATCTAAGGCTAATACTGAAAATGAATTTAAGAATAGGAACAATGATTTCAGAACAACCCTTAATAATAAAACTTGGTGTACCATCAAGTCCAACAGTTTTTGATGGCCTCAAACGCTTTATAGCATTATGAACATCAATATTAATAACAAATAATAATGAAAAATATTACACAAACAGACTAACTAAACATATACATGTACAATATTAAATATAACAGCTAAATACAGGTAAACACAAAATAGAAACAATATTATACACAAAGAGAAATGTGATAGTGGAACCATGGTTCCGGAGAATTTGACGTAAATACGTCTATACAGAAAGGAAGTTTATATATTGGTTTTATTCTAAATTATTTCCTTTATACATCCTTTACAATTGAGATAAGTTTGATTAAGACTTTGCTTATTTAACTTCAATTAGTTACGCTTAAAATGGGTCTGTGGTAGCTGAATGTAATGTAATGTATTGTAAGGTAAGGTAAGGTAATGTAATGAAATGTTTTATAGGTAACCACTGTTGTTTATTTGTTGATAAACAGATGACATTTCCTAGGCAACACAACAATGAAGTTACACTTTTTCGTTTCCCAGGTAACATAGCAATGAAGTTTGACGTTTCATAGGTAACATAACAATGAAGTTACACTTTTTCGTAACACATTTTCGTGACACTTTTTCGTAACACTTTTTCGTAGCACTTTTTTGCCGAATGACCCTTCCTCATAGACATATTTACGTCAAAATAAATGAATATAAATAAAAGCAAATGATCCACCTAGGGAAACACTTATAGTAATGTAAAACGCTTAAGAATCACAAGGAAATAATATCCAAGCTAGATAATCTATCAAGAAAACCTATCTACATCATTTCCTATATTGAGAATGTGCCCTCGAAGGAGACGATGTTTATGCTAAATACGTCCAAAGATTTACATACGTCATTTGCAGCGATGACGCACCTGGCTGAAGGACTATGTCTCAGCGCACTGCTCACTCTCAAAGTAATAATAAAACATGAACGAACTTACCTCTTCCTTTGTTCAAGAGGAAAAGAATTGGATGTCCACCGGAAAGAAAGAACAATTGAATCAAAAGCAAAATGGGGAGAGTTGAGGACAGTATCACAAATCCCTTGAATCGTATAAGAAATGTTCTTGGGTTATTCTGAAAGTCTTTTAACAACACAAAAGTAACTGGTCTACGACACACTTCTTCTACAAGCGATTCACAGTTCAGTTCTTTCCACAATAGAGAAACCCGATTGTTGACGGCAATAATGTAACACAACAATGCCGAGTAAACAAATGACGTAACAATCAGGTGCATTACATTTTATATTGCATGTCTAAGAAATGAAAAAGAGCCTTATGGCATGCTCAGTCAATATTTTTGCAGGCGTGGTTTATAAGTACCATTACTTTTGACGTAAATACGTCTATACAGAAGGGTCATTCGGCAAAAAAGTGAAAGGAAAACGTGTAACGAAAACATGGAACGAAAATGTGTAAGATCCGTATCACAAATTGACAACAATGGTTACCTATGTGTTTACTCGGCATTGTTGTTACCTAGGAAACTTGACCAAGTGGTTGGTCAAGTGTTTTACCCCCCCTTTGGGGGGGGGGGGGGTTAGTTTAGTTTCTTACTCAATGGGGAACTTCATACTTATGATTCAATTTAACATTTTAGAGTGATTAATTCAAGGAGTTCCTTTCATTGTATTTATTGCCTAAACATAATTTAAATACAGAGACGTATTTACGTCAGATTCTCCGGAACCGTGGTTCCACTGCCAATTTTTTTGCTTCGAAGAGGAGATTACAGAAACAACAGCTTCAACACTAATAAACTGTCCTGGGTTCGAGTCCTGAAAAGGATTGTTTCTGTTTTGGTTGTAAGTAGATTTAAATTCTGTCGACACATTCTAAATCATCGGAAGTACAAACAAACAAGGCAAATTCATAAGGAACATAAACATCTAAAACTCCATCTGTTCGAAGAAGAAAGTGCAAGAACTTTACATAAGAATAGATTAATGAATAAACTGAAAGCAGCCACTGGAAATATCGAAGAGGATTGGATAAGCGTAAATCAAACGACACTTTACGCTGCTTCTGAAAATCTCTGTAATAAACCAACAAACGAGAAAAAATGTTTATGAACATTTAAAGACTATCTAAAAGAAATCACTGACGAAAAGAAACAAGCTTACAGAATGTATTTGCTAACTAAATTATTACAAGCAGCCAGTGGCGGCTCGTGAGTCTGAGCAGTGGTAGTGCTGCGCAAGTGGGAGAACTCAGAATAGTTTTTCAACATATAACAACATAAATAAATGAAAATTAATTTTCATCAGGAGAAAAAACATACGTTCTCGAGGATGTTTTAACTATTTCTAAGTCCGGGAGAGGGCGGCCATGAGTTTTACATCACTCTTTTCACACAAAGAACAATTTAGAAAAAGGAATTTTCTGTAACAATGATGCACTTCCTTTGATCATTTTCATTATCAAAACAAAAAATAGTCGGCACAGAAAATTATTGAACACTCAATAGCAATAACCACGAAACAGATTGCGATAAAGAAACTCGTCTAAAAGACGTGGTACCTGGCAAGCTTGTATACTGAGCCCGTTGCGAACCTTGCAGCCCCGATACGCGCTGTAACAGTGGACTACCCCTCAATCCACCACGCTGAAATCATTGCAGCTGGAAGTTAGCCCCGTTCTCCTTCGCACTCCTGGCCCTCAGACTTACTGTCAGTTCAGCTGATTAGTGCATAATGACACGTAAGGGGCAATATTAAAATAATGATATAGAGGAAATATAGTGTCACAAATTATATAAACACAAGAAATAAATTTCTCAATTGTTGAAAAAATATAGGGGATGCTGCAGCTCTTATGAACGCCGTCACTGCAAGATACTTAGCCCTATAGTTAGAAAATACAGAAGTGAAGACTGGGATAAGTTTGCAAAATCACTTGAGCCCGATATTACAGGACCTCAAAAGACAGGATTTGAAAGGTTTATTAAATCAATGGAGACAAAATTAATTCTGGCCAAGGTTGTGGGTTAAGTAAGGAATGATTTATCCAAGGGCATCTGCACAACTGCCAATTAAACACGCGGTATTGTAAATATTTATCTTAACTAGAACTGCTAGCCTTGAATACCGAACTCAATATCTGCTTCTTGACTGCCCTTCCTGCGAAATGCAGACTCTTCCATTTTCATGGCTTCAACAATTAACCTTGTGCCTGTCTGCTCCCATTTCAACTAGCCATTTATTTTACCTTTAACGATGAAGAAAACCAAACATGATGATCTCAAATTCATATAAGTTAACGGTAATTGGAGGCAACACAGAATGAATAATTACAAGTTCGCATGCGTCTGCCACTTGTCTCTGGACAGGGTCATTTAAACCCACCCCACACACTCGTATTACACTTACTTACTATCCATTCAGTTCTGTCTTAACAACTATCTTTGGGTCTCAGACTAGAATTCTGTGTGCATTCCATTTACACAGCTATATGCCCAGCCCATTTCATCTCCCTTCAACTGATCACATTAATAATATCTGGCAAAAAGATATCGAATTAGTCATAGATAATCTTGACAGTAAATGTAACATTAATATCTTTCAACTCAGTCTCGTGGTATGAGGCCAGCACAGAACGCCACGAGACACAAATTTACAGAGCTACTAACGACAATGGATTTGCCCCTGAACCTGGCTCATCCCTCTCTTTAAATTGTACATACGCTTGCAGTAGTGAGGTGACACTTTTCAAATGTGTAAACCAAATCCTGAAGTGGGGGTTCGCTGCAAAAATGTTAGCATTTGAATATGTACAGTGTACTTAACCTCACATAATTCAATAGGTTTCTTTATGGTCTTCCTCAGTTTCTCTAGCAAAATGAGATTATATTTAAATAAACAAGAAACCTAAATAAAACACAGAAATGTAAATTTCAACACTGTAAATACTGAAGTTCATCATGGAATATCCATACACCATTCTGATTTTTGACTTCATCACTTGAAAATTAACATTATTTTCGACCTATCAAGCAGCAGCTTTCAAATACAGTATACAGCATTTTCTCATTAAATCTCTGTGCTTATTTCTACTTTCTTTTATCCAAGATGTATGTTCACGTGACTCTAACGCCCATTACCTTGATACACAAGCAGGACAAAATAATTCGCACAATGCAACAGTTCTCCTTATGTGATTAATATGTTCTGGGTTTACGCATTTTCATTAACACTTTGCTTTCAATAAACTGTAACTCATGTTCTTCCATCACACCAAGTCCAACCACAAACAATTCTTAAGATGAGTGCAGTCAACAGATATGCAATTTGAGTTTTAAAAATAAAACAGATTTTTGTTACGAACACATGCCAATCTAAAGGCTAAGCATTAGCAAACCTTCATAACAGCCTTCTGTATGAATAGAGAACCAAGACTTCTTCAAATCAGCAGCACCATACCAAATAAATACCCAGTACCATCAAATTTTCAAGTCTCAATTTAAGCCTTCCTCCCAGCAATTGCAATTAAAATCATACTACGTACCAGCCAGTTCATTTTCTGCACTTTTAGACAATGTTGTAAGATAACTTTGACTTCACAAACAAACTATTCAACAGTGGTTCAAAGCCAGCAAAAAGAAATTTAGGGTACAATCACTGAATAAAATATCAACAGATATGCAAAGCTAACAGGAACATCTTTTTCAATTTTTAGTTGTGATTCCTCCCAAAACTGAAATGCATACAAATACTTTGAACGCAGCATTAAACGTGTCTTCATAATAACGAGATGCATGGAAGTGTCTGCAAAACAGATCACCCTACACAAATTTCCCATGGTACATCCTGTTCAAATTGGTAAGACGCAAACAATCAAGTCCATGAGATATCACTGCTGGTGAATAGTTTTGGATCAAATTCGGATGATTTCCAGTGCTTTCCAGAACCTGACACATCAACTAAAATGTTTCAAGAACTATCCTTACTTCTGGCAGTTATAAATCCACACCATCCATTACCTGCATTGCTGGACCCTTGGGTGATGGTGCTTTGAGGCTCGAAAAGTCCACATTGCATCTTGACTTGGGGCATGTACCACTATCCACATGTGAGTAACCACCTGAAACATTACACCAACTTTGTTAATATGGCAGCTATCCTTTCAGACATCAACGAATTGCAGTATTACCACCCTACCCTCCAGTTCTCTCATCACGCCCAACTCATCTGAATACAACACGTCAAAACCCTCTTGAGAGTCAGTAAAATCTGTCACTTCAATGCTGGTGTTCTTGGAGCAAATGTAACTAATACACAACAGTGCGACAACCTCTTCAACAAACATTACGCCTATAGCAGAAGGATCTTTGCAAAAGGGCAGGATTTTGTGTCCATTTGCATAAACTTACACACAAAGAACAAATATTAATTTTCCCACTTAATACAGCCCAACACTAATATAATAGGAAAAATACTGAGTATACATTCCAATATAGAGGAAGGTGTCAATGCCGGAAACTGGACCCAACATTCATTTTTGTACATTACACATTCCAGACAGGATAATCACTACTCAAACTAAAACTCATCAGAAGCGCAGCACCCAGTTTGAACTCAAACGCAATGCGCAACCTCTCTTTGGAGGACACTGTTCTTCTGTTGCTGGAAACAACCCTAACCTATCCTTTTAACCTATTAATTACATACCTTGAACAAATTGATCACCAAAAGTTCTTAAAGAATACCAAAACTCTGTATTATTTATAACGTTAAAGACGTGTCGACCAAGTTACTGTCAAAAGTTCTTAAGCTTTGTTAGGGAAAAGCAAAATTCAAAATTTTGTGATTGCTGCTACTGATTACGATGACCTGCCATCTATGAATAATGATCATAGATAACAACAACAAAGCAATATAAATTAATTTACATGTATATATATTTACATTTCTTCAATTTTTAATCATGCTGTCATCTACTCGTTGTAATAATTCAAACAAAAATATCTATCTAAAGACTTCTGCCTATCTCACCAGTTTTACTTAAATTTGTGAATTACAGACATGTAAAATGCATTGGAGTTTCAACATCATCCAACTGTAATACAAAATGACCTGCATATCGTCTCACATCACAAAAAGGAAGACGTACACACAGTGTATTTTACAATGTGGTCTTTAACATTTACTTCCTTGTTGAAATTCAAACAATGACTTCAATCACAAAACTGGTAGAATTTTAAGACGAGTACAATAACGGCCAAAATATCAGTACAACAACACAGGTTAATGAAAATATCAGACCATGAATTAGGATGTACTTCACAGATTAACATACCGAGGAATGTAAGTGAATTGCAATATACACCAAACGTGACAATGAAAGGTTACTTTTGCAAAAGTAGTGCCAACTATCTCACTAATGGATGCTGATAATGAACGTTTTTTTTAATAATAAGTGAAACTTCTTGCAATAGTAATCCAGTACCAATTTTAATAAACCCCCAACTGACATATTCTATACAAACTTGTAGCTAGTGAGCTGATAAGAAAGGGTAAATATGGCCCAAGGTCTTCAAGTGGTTGAGAACTATGTTTAAGGTACTTAAAGGATTTCCAGACCTTTCACTGAGAATACTATACACAACTATTACTTTTTGATACTAGAAATTAAGGTAAATAAACCCCCAGGAAACAGCCTTCTCTGGGTCTGCAGGGGTGGTGTTGTTCTTAGCATAATACAAACCAACCAAAAGAATAAATTCCAAGACAAACGTTTCATTTTACTAAGAACACAAATCAAGAAAATACGCACTTCACTTATATTCCACATCAGGTGAAACCCCTTGTATGGTCACAAAAGTGTTTCAAACAGCCTGTATCAAACTCAGCTTGACATAGGCATAAAACAGGGCCAGTTATATGTAATTACAGATCTAAAATGTTTATTTCTAACAAAGAAACAATGCAGCTTTTGGATTCCGTACGTATAAAAGTATTTAGTTACAAATGAGGTTAATCACGATATTCTGATCTATTACGAATAAACACAAGAAACCAACCAACCTATAATACCAACCTACCAACAACCATGACACCAACTTACATACAGCGAGTTGCAAAAGTTGTCAAATGTAAACGTGACGCTCTTGCTTGCCACTGGATTCAAGGTTTGCGGGTTCAAACCCGGCCGAGGTCGACGGACTTTTTAAGGGTGATAAAATCCGTAACATGACATTCTTTGGAGGGGAAGAAAAGCCGGCGGTCCCATGTAGATTCACGGCATGTAAATAAACCTTGGAGGATGAACGATATGTTTCGTAAGCCATTTCTCCAGCAGACAAGTTAGGAATAAGTAGAAATTTTTCGGAAGCAGCAGGCTTGTCACCTGCTATTTAGAGAACTAAAAATATTAAAAAGTCAATTTTGCCTTGAGCAAATGTGACATCTCGCTCAAAACCGTCCCTGATTGGACAGACTGAGTGTATCCCAAGACGTATGATAGCATGTTGCTGCCAAATAATAAGTTAGTTTTTAGGATTGGAGGGCGCTTCATTACGTAATCAGTCTAATTGTTACAAAACCAATCAATGTTACTTCCAAACAATTCGGAAGTTGTTTGTTGTGAAGTGAGGTTGAAGACTTTTCTTAGTGATCTAAAACTGAATTTTATTTATATAAAACAAGGCTACCATCAAGAATTCAAACGCCAATAGTAAGTATTTTTGCCCTTTAAGATAAAAAAAGTAAAGCTGTACCAATATTCGCCATGTAGGCGCTGGGGGGAGAGTAGTACAGCTCCTACTCATTCTTGACCTCGGCACTAGATGGGGGTGAGTGGTCAGAATCACGCCCCGGCCGCGCTTTACCCTCGGGAAAAGACCCCGGTACCCATTGGATAGGAGGCTGGCTGAGCCCCAGGCCCGGTCTGGACACAGGCTAGAGGAAAAATCCTCTGCCCCCGTCGGGGATGGAACCCCGGTCGTCCAGTCCGTAGCCTGTCACTATACAAGATATTATTTAAGATACAATATATACATTTTCTCCCGTAACTTCACGTTTCTGATGTAGAAGGATAATATTTATTACTAATATTGTGTGAGAAGGTTGGGCCATGATGAAGGAAAGATTGTTTGACAGCAATTGAGCCAAAAGAGATCTCAACGTTGAGAAATTATATTTATATCTGTGTGGAATTTTTAAGAATTATCAATACCTCAGATAATTTTAATACAAAATAAAATGCTATTTTAACATTTATCTTACAAATTCCACTTAAAATTAATAACCAGAAGTTATAAATTTTTCCATTGTCCAGAACTCTTGGTAATTTTATTGCAATAGCAATAAAAATACAAAAATTGTCAGAACAATATTCACATAAAAATTCCACATAACAGATAGCGATACAAATTATCAGGGAATTATTTTACATTGTTCAATAGTCTTGGTGATTTTGCTAAAGTGAAAAATTATGTGCAATAAAAAATTAGCCCCAAATACTTTCAGACACCTTGCTTTGTGTTCCCTCCTCAAAGAGATAATTATTCATATCCTTACTAAACATGTATTTCTCATTTTAAAACACAATTTCTGTATAGTACAGTTTCAAGTTGAAGCAATATGATCTACAATGCATTCTTTTCTACTGCTTCAGGTGTTGTGGAATCTAAGCATACTCAAGTTTTATGAGTAAAGACACTCTCAAATACTTCGAAAAGCTCACCACTGTTCAGGAAGATGAGAAGGGCATCTGAGGTGAGTTTCCTTTCTTTCATTCTTCCTTATTATGAGAGCAACCACTTCAAACAGTTAACTCATTTAATCCAAATGGCATGTCAACATGCAGTTTGCAACATTTATGTAGATATATTCATACAACACTTTGAGAAACATTAAACCTTTGTGCACCACTTTCATTGTTCACTGAACCTGCTGTCTCAATTTTATCATTGCATTGTATGAACTAAGAAACAGCTATGACATAAGGTAAAAAATGTACAGAATCTTATGAACTTATTAAAGTTTTTGACATTAAGAGGTTCATCTGTCAGGAGATGGAAGTCTGGAAAAATGTTTAATAATTAATTTTCTGTCGCATACCCTCGAAATAATTTCACGTACCATACTTTCAGAAACATTGCTATAAATTTGTGAATAAATACTTGCAGCTCTTTTGCATGGTCCAGTAACCAGTTTTCAACCAGATTTCTTTATTTCTTCTACATATTACATTCCTCCAATCTTGGTGTTACAAAGAACATTAGTTGAATGTACTGATATTTGGTCAGGTCAGATCACATCAAGAATATTCGAATGTGTGTGGGTAACAACAAAATCCTCGGTGGACCAAGGATAATGTTGACAAATCTCCTACGTCTACCACTAATGTTAAGAATGTGTGTATGGAGCTTGGGTTTCAGCCTCATATGGGCCTTCATGGTGCACTTAAGAACAGGGACTTTGCCATTTTTTATGTTCTTCATGTTCTAGTGTGAGCAAAATAAATCTCATGGGCCTGTGTATTTCTGTGTCTCTGACACTTTTTCTTATAAACTTTGCAGACATCTGTAATCATCCAATCCCCTCGCTTTCTGAAGGCGCTTACCTGGTCGCTCATGTCTCCACACACCCAAACTATTCTGTTGTTATTGTGAAGAACAGCCCATTCATCAGGCTTAAGATGAGTTTCAGTGGCATGGTCATGTTAAAGAACCTTCGGATTTTTATAAAAGTCAGTCAGTGCTATTGTCAGCTTGTGAAGATGAAATTTGTTTATTGTCTGAGACCTTGAAGAAATGTTCTTCTCAAAATGAGTAAAAGAGGTTGTGAGCATCATTTTTATTCTCTTGCCTCTAAATGAATCCAAACTCTAACCAAATACCCTATGTCATGCTAAATGATTATTTTGTAATTCATATGAGACTTTTGTTGCTATTTGTTTAATTATTCTATTACTTGTTAGAGAAACATTGGCTGTTTGTATTGTTTTCTTTATCACTCAATTTAGTGTCAGAAATTTTTCTCAGTTTAATATGTTCTTTATATAACATTATTTGTTTTGCAGATACAGCGACAAAAGAATGTAGTAGAATTACGAGAAGAAATGGCACAACAGAGTATACTGCATTGTCAGGAAGAGTACTTAAGATCCATCCAAGCTATACAGGAAGACCTTCTTAGGGCCAAAGAAGATTTGAAACTCATAACCCTCAATGAGGAGGAGCACAAGTCAGAGTTTGAAACACTTGAAAACAGAATCCAAGAATTCCAGTCAGAGAATAGATTGTTAAGGGCTCAGATTCCTCATAAAGACCAAGAACTCTTAACTCAGGATTGTCTTCCATGGCAGAACGAAGAAGATTTAAGATCCATTCATGTCGTGAAGGCAGTCCTTAATGTCAGACACAAGCCAGAAGGCACAGTTACAGGACAGGACAGAAAGAATGCTGTATAAAAGGTGGAAGAAATGGAGGCAGAAATTGAATCTTTAAAGGCAAAGGTAGCAGAACAGCAAAATGAGATAAACAGGAAGGATGGGGCACTGGACCAATACGAAAGAAAGTTATTGTACATGGAAGCATTACAGTACGAATTTGGAACTAACAGGCAAAAGGGGAGAGAAATGGAAGAAGATAACAGACGCATGATGCTTACAAATGAAAATTTGAGAGCGGAATTAGACGACCTTGTGAAGAAACACCATGACCTCAAAACTACATCTGAGGAGATTAAGTTACTTGTTTTGCAGAGGGAAGTCGAAAGGGCGGAGAAAGATGGTCTTTTCCTGACTTTTGAAGACCTCTTAAAGAGCGCGGCTGATTTGAAACAGCTGATAGAAAGAGCCAAAATGGATCCTAGTGCTTTTGTCGCAATGAGTCCTGTTCAGAAGAAAGTGTACAATCTCAGTGCTGCGCTGTATGAACGGCTGTTCACAATTGATGTTCAAGAAATGGAGATCAAACGTTTACGTGCAGATCTGTACGCTAAAGAGAAAGAGATAAAAAAACTGAGAGTTGTTGCACAAGATGTGAAGCTGTATGAGAACGATATTATGAATCTTCGTTACACACATGATGAGCTTGAGTACAAAAAGTGGTAATAAAATAATGATATTATAAAACTTCGTGACAGAATTCATGAGCTTGAGGGTCAAATTCGTTCTAAAGACAAGGAAGATCAACTTAAAGTCCTCAGTCAGCAGGGAGTGAAAGAGCGTGTAGACCAGCATGATTATGAAGACAAGGAACATGAACATAAAGACATCAAGCAGCCGGTGTGTGGCCCGACAGAGGGTAACACCCAGGGTACTTCCCAGAAACTGGTAGCAGCTCCCAGAGATGACTATACTGCAGACAAAGGAACTCATATTGAATGCAGGGACAGTATTATAAAACCTCGTGACAAGATGCCTGGACTTCAGGACATGGAAGAGGAATGCAAAATCCTCAACCGGCATGGAATCAATGAGCTTCTGGACCAGCCTTATTACAGAGACAAAGAATATGAACGTAAAAACATCAAGCAGCCGGTGTGTACTCAAGCACAAGGTTACATGCAGGATACTCGCCCAGAACTGGCAGCAGCTCCTACAGATGCCCACACTGCATGCAAAGGCACCCGTGGTGAACGCAGGGAGAGAATATCTCCACCTGCCACACCCAAACATACAGATCTTAACAGGTGGTTAGTTTTTCTGTATACAGTCCTATAGATTCCATGTTTTGTCCACCTTGTGAGAGAGTATTACTTGTGGTTATGTGATAAATTAAAGTAAAATTAGGATTTGAGGTTTTCATGGCGGTGTGTCCAAAGACGGCTGTCTTCTGAGTTGTTGCGCCTTGCAGTCTGGTAGAAGTTTACCAACATTTCAGAGGTCCTTGCTGCTTCCTTCGCCAGTTCTACCAGACTATACGGCGCTGCAACCGAAAAGACAGCCCCTTAAAACAAAATGCTAGTCATTCCTGTCAAGATGATTTGTTTGTGAAACATATTTTAAGTACGAGGCGCGTCCACAAAGTAAGTTTCCCACTCATCCCACAGCTAGCAAACCTTATATTGCGCGAAGCGACTGTGCGTATGTGATAGAGCAATGACGTAGCATGGCGCATGCACTAACGGCACTTCCCGCGTTCTCACAGTAGCATCGTTGCAGCTGTTGAAGATGGAGGTTCTTATTCCAGCTCCCGCCGACTGTGAAGTGCGGTCAGTGATAACGCTAGGCCGCACACGGCTCGACGGACAGCAAGTCTCCTGCAGGAGTTCAGCTGGGAGGTGTTTAATCATCCACCCTACAGCCCGGACCTCGCTCCCAGTGATTTCCATCTTTTCCTACACCTCAAGAAATTCCTGTCCGGTCAGCGTCAGCGTTTTGAGAATGACAGAGAGGCGGAGATGGCTGTCACACAGTGGTTCCAATCCCAGGCGGCATTAGATTTTACACGCCTGAGTGCACACCATGTCAAGAAGTTGAGGTGCTTATACATAGACATGAGAATAACCATTGCTTTTTCATTTGTCATAGGAGAGTTAAAATACTCCAGTAATGGGTACATTTTGTTCTGGGACAGACTCTTTCAAGAACTGAACTGTTTATTTTAACACATTTAATACTACCCTTTCATATATGGTTCAGCTCTCATTAGTGAGCACCTACGAAATTTTCAGACCAAATAATGTTTTATGGTTTCCTTTGTTTGCCTCTTTACATTATATACGCCCCACCAATTTTATCATTGTTTGTATTACTCTAATATCATTCGAACAATACAAATTATAAAGCTTTCTGCTGTGTAATTTACTGCATTCTTTTCTTACTTCACCTGTCCTAGGTCACATGCAGAATGAAATCAACCGTCGCGTATTTCCAAGAAATTTTAATTATATTTCTTACACATATGGTTTGTTGCTAAGCATGAGGTTAACAACCATTAACTACAGTTGCTTTGTATCTTTCACAGAAAACGCCATTGTCAGCAATTTGGAATGGCCTCCCAAATTCAAGGCCTTGTAACACCATTGAACAACTGGTCGGCTCCTGTCGACAAAGAGGGTCTGAACAAATGTGAACGTGGACAATTGAAACCCTTGCCAGGCATTGGTGAAGGTCATGAACTGAGCTAATTGATTTTATGCTCATATTTAGTCGCTTGTGTATTTGTTGTCCACGGCCCCCTCAATTCTCCTCTTCCATTCGGTACTCTGTTAGGTCCATCTGTCCTGAGATTTTGATCGAGGTTTCGAAACATCTTCCTTTTTACGGTGCAAGGTTGTTGGCCTTGCGACCAACCCCCAACCTGGAGGACCAGGGTACCTGTCTTAGTCTGATCTCTCCCCCTCGACCAGTCTGGCTAGGGAGGCCCTACCAGTAGCTCTTGGGGTCACTGAGGTACTCAAGCCCCACCACCAGGACAAGGTGCAGGTACCATTAAGTGGTATACGGACTGGAGAGCCATAGAAGAAGAAGAAGTATTTGTTGTTCGTACAATGACACTTTCAGCAGCTCAGACTATGCAGCATCAATGATAATTTTTACAGTGTTGCTTGATACTCATGAACTTGATATTTGATACATTCTGAAACTTTGATTTCTGAAACGGTATCAATGAAATTTATCCACAGAAGAACAAATAGCAGAGTAAGGTTTATGTATTTGTTGCTCTTAAATTACGGTGCATTATTATCCAAAGAAATGTCCGATATTACAATTGTTTGTAAACAAAATTCTGGGGAATATATTCGTTTTTGAGAAGAACAAATTAAGAAACCAGTTTAAGATATTATACGCATAACAAACAACTTCTCTGGTTATGCAGGTCTCTTTGTATTTTTAGAATAACGAATGCAAGGAGGCTGGGCATGTAAGTTGGATGGTGGAACAGGGAATGCATACAGAATGTCTGTTGTAAAATGACTCCTTGGAAGACCAGGCTGAAGATGGATGATAATATTAAGATAGTTTCGACATGAAAATGTTATGAGAATGTGAGGCGATTCCAACTGGTTCAGGCTGGCATTGTTAGTGCTGTGCAATTGTCAGGTTGTAGTACCTGATTGGTAGTTGCAACTCAAGCGACTTCTAATTACATTCAAACTGCAAATATGAATTTTTCCAGCATTCTTTTGAAGCACATTGGTCATCATCCTGGCAACAAACCTTTCAAGAGTCTACCATCTAGTCTCACTAACGCTTACCGAACACGAAGGTTCATCACCGAATTAACCAGCCTTCCGCCGTACCCTGTCCTGGGCCAACAAAATCTCCTTCAACTCCTATCTCCCATAGATCCCGCCTGAGATTATCCTCCCATCTACATCTAGGTCTCCCCAGAGGTCTCTTCCCCTGAGGCTTCCCAAATAGTGGACCCAACCAACCAGATGGCTTACGGAACCCGAAGGTTCATCACCGAATTAACCAAAGACCTCCACCGGACCCTGTCCTGGGCCAACAAAATCCAGTCTCCTTCAACTCCTATCTCCCACAGATCCTGCCTGAGATTATCCTCCCATCTACGTGTAGGTCCCCCCAGCAGTCTCTTCCCCTCAGGCTTCCCAAATAGTGGACCCAACCAACTAGATGGCTTACCGAACTCGAAGGTTCATCACCGAACCAACCAAAGCCCTCCACCGGACCCTGTCCTGGGCCAACAAAATCCAGTCTCCTTCAACTTTAATCTCCCATAGATCCGGCCTGACATTATCCTCCCATCTACGTCTAGGTCTCCCCAGAGGTCTCTTCCCCTCAGGTTTCCCAACAGTACCCGGTGCAAACATCTTGTCCCATCCATGCGCGCTACATGCCCCGTCCATCTCATTCTTCTCGACTTAATCACCCTGACAATATTGGGGGAGGAGTACAGATTTTTAAGTTCGTCATTATGTAGTTTTCTCCAGACCCCATCGTCTTCTCTCCTAGGCCCAAATATCCTCCTCAACACCCTATTCTCAAACACCTGCAATCTATGTTCCTCCCTCAGAGTGAGAGACCATGTTTTGCACCCATACAAAACAACAGGTAAAATTATTGTTTTGTACACTACAATTTTCAGGTTCTTAGAAATCAGACGTAAGACTGAGAAGTAGCAAGCATCTAGTCTCACATGTTTTGTAAATGAGAGGGCACAATTTAAAGTAACATTAAAGGATACTTCATTACAAACTCCCTTTATCCTGCTAATGAATTGTTAATGTTAGCAAATAATTCATATTATTCATAAGGTTTTGTCTTTATATACAATACATTTATCCATGTACCAGGTGGATTTATTTGGAACATATTACGACCTTATATGAACACTTTGCTTATTTTATGTGGCATGTTTTATAATTATTTGAATTATTCTTATTTTCACGCATTGTATTATTTATTATTAGGACTTATTACACATCAAGCTGTCATCTGACTTGACTTATGGATCATTGGAATGTAATAAATATGCATGTATGAATGCTTGTATGTATGGATGTGAATTTGGCATTTGCAATGCTTTCAAATACTCAAGAGTGAAAATTGTTTTACAGCTACCAAGATTGATGATCCTTCCATCAGATCCTGGCGGGCCCCAAGCAGGGTCCAGGAAGACTAAACAAAGCTCAGTTTGGCCCAGCAAAGTCCTACAAGGCTTGGCAAGGCCCAGCATTTCGGACCTAACACCAGCAAGGCCCAACATGGCCTGTCACTGTTGCAGCGAATATAACCTTTAATTTGTAATCAATTGTACAAAAATCAGATCATATAAACACAAATTTGGTACGATTAAAACTAAACTGGAGTCACGTAAAAAATTGTCTGCTTCTTTGGCTTTCAGAATATGAAAACTACTCCACACCAGCATTCATTCACAGCATTACCACTCTTAGACGTGGAATAGAGTATCAGAATGTAGGTAGACAGGAACACAGAAGAGTAAAACATTTTGTTGTACCTTAATGCACCAACAACGAAGAAAGTTTAGCCAAACTCAATCTTAAGGACAAAAGTGTGTCAACACTGCAAAATTTTCATTCCATCCTGACGATACAGGAAACAAGTATAATGAAAGAATAGGCCCATGTTTTCATTTTAAATGGGGATTCAGAACTGGTAGCCTGCTTATTTTATTTTATTTAATTTAAAAACGTTCTGAGTGTCTATATGGTATGGGTCGGTAATTGATCAACAGCACCCTGAGGACAGGGATGAAGATGGTTCTCGAAACATTGGTGTTTTCTCCATTGAGTCACCTTACATGTATTCGTGGTTGAGAAGAATTTATACTCGGAATATTTGTCCTTTGTTCATTGTCTTTCCTTGATGATGTTCATTTATTGGGTGATGATATGAATACAATAAAAGGAACGCAGAAGTTTTACTAGAGGCTAGTAGAAAGGTGGGGCTAGAAGTAAATTCAGAAAAAACTAAGTACATGTTAGTATCTCGTCATCAGAAGACAGGTGGGCAAAATTATCTTAGGGTAGCTAATAAATCCTTTGAAAGTGTTACAAAGTTCAAATATCTGGGAACAACAGTAACAAATCAAAATGACACTCATGAGGAAGTTAGGAGGAGATTAAATTCTGGAAATGCTTGCTACTTCTCAGTTCGAAATATTTTGTCTTCCCGTCTGATTTCTAAGAACCTGAAAATTAAAGTATACAAAACAATAATCTTGCCTGTTGTGTTGTATGGGTGTAATTTTATTTGAATAAATTAATTAAAATTTCAAATGTTCAACGGTCGAGTTGCGAGAGAGCAATGTGCAATGGTTTATGTACAGGAAATTTTCTGATGTGTAAAGCGAATTTTAGCAGTTTAAAGACTAGTTAATTAATGAAAATAGTAATAATTCACTAATACAGACTCATACAAATAATAATGGGAAGATACAGCACATTTCATCTTAGGTAAGAAAAAGAAATATTAAGAGAAATCAAAACAGGACGTCAAAGGACGGACACACAATGTCGAAGGGATTTAAGGAGTTTCTCACCACTAATGTGGCACAAAGTGCTCAACAGTTTCCAAAAATGTGCTAATAACACTTACCCACAGAACTGTTGGAAATAATTTTCGAACACCTTAGTTTCCATGAAATAGCCATTACTCGTGAAGTAAGCACACGTTGGCAACAGCATCCTTAGCCGTCACTTCCAAGGACTAAAAATCGGAATTGAAACTCAACTGACTGCAGGAAGATCAGACGACAATTGATGGGCAGATAGACCAGGCCTTCTCGAATGTCTGCGTCTCTTCGTGAATATAAACATCGTCTACCACCCCATTAAGTCTGAGGCCAAAGACGACGGCTACTGCATAGCTCCTACCACGCCTAAAATGAATGTGGCATTTGTTATTACCAAGGCCAGTTCAGCGAAGACAAATACAGAAAGAAGTTTAGGAAAACTGATGCTCCTGATGTAAAATTCAAGGAAGGAACTGGCACCCATTGACATTCTCTTGGAATTATTTTCAATTACTCATGTTACTTACGTGACTCGAAATGGCCACGTTGATAATCGATGTACAGTTAAGCCCTTCGTGTAATTGAAGTAACAGTCCTTTGCACAGAGTCATAATCATTTATGACGTTAGCACCGGAGTCCACCTCAGCCCTGCTGTTTGACGTGATGGCGTACACCAGAAATCTCATGTGACCGCAGAGAAAGTAGTTCAAAGGCGAAATATCTTGTGATGTAGCTGGCCAAGCAACTGGACTACCTCGAACAAATCCAACGGTCTGGAAACTGTTGATTCAGAAATGCACACGCCTACCAAAATGAGGAGGTGCGCCATCTTGCTACACTCACACTTCTTCCCTGCTTACCAGAGGAACATCTATCTACATCAATGGCGGCTCTTCGTACTAAAACGCAAGTAGCGCTGAGATGTCGAGCGGCCTTCGCAAGTACTGACTGCCCTGTCTGTGTCTTGTCTACGTGCGCCACGTGAGCAGCTTAGTGAACTAATTTCACAAACACTGGCGGTGCGTTTTTTTGACAAACTGTTTAGAATCAGACCCACGTTTATTTGAATTTTTCGTTTCAAAATTATCCCAAGAGCACAAAGTTAAGTTATGGACATTCTGTTGCGACATAAACACATACACATATAAATGTAAGTCTTGATATGAAGTCAGTAATATTTATGTCGAAGGTGATCTGACAGGGTCAGACTGCTCTGAGCAATAAAAATAGCTCAATGACAAGCACTGCGGTCTGACAGAAATTAAATTCTGTTGTAACTCAATCATTCTTGTTTAATTTTAACCGTCTAATCACATTAAAATATTTTAATAAATATTAAAATATTATTATTACAATTAACATTTAATATTTAAAATATATAAAATATATTATATATTAAAATATTAAATGTTAATTGTAGTAATAATATTTTAATATTTTAATATTTAATAAAATATTTTATTGTGATTAGACGGTTAAAATTAAGCAATTATAATCATCACAATATGACGCAACATTATCATCTCATCAATTATTCTTCTTAAAGGCACATATTTTTACATTCTCAGGTCACTGATATATTTTTTTTACTTTTAGTAATGTTGGGTTGTTTAAAAGCATCATTAAATTTACTCAAAAAAAAGGACAATAACATTTTCCCTTCACGAAAATACCAATTTATTCGTCTGTACATTTCCATCGAAAGATTCCACATTTGGAGACCACTTTACGCTTATTATTAAAGGCATTATAAAGGTGTTTCTATTGAATTTAGAACATCTTTCTTTGCTCATAGGTAGGAAAACCAAGTTCTATTGGAAACCCCGCATAAACTTACATAAAATAACATTTATGTCAGGAACTGCCCGAATTCTATTGCAAAGCAATCGCGTCAATATTTCAGCTGGAAAAACCATGACACGTGCTGACGTCGACACGAAACCTTACAATTCTGCGTTAAACACAACATAAATACGTCATTCATGTGCGCTGACTGATGCTTGAAAAGGATATCGTAACTGAGTTTTCGAAACAATTTTGAGCTTACACGTGTCCTGATGCGTACATGACAACATTTACCCGGAAAAGTAGGTGACTCACATAGAATAATTCATAATAATTACCGACTGTCACTTGCAATCGCATAATCATTTGGGGTAACTGACCGCTGTCTTAAGAAACACTCGGGGGGCTGTTGACAGCACGGCCTTACCAAACAATGAACACACTAATAAAAGAAAGTACTGATGAAAACCATACAATTAAACAGACTTTAGAGGCAGTCCCCCTGATTTGCGGTGCCTTCATAATGACCCTGTTTTAGGCTACGTAACGATACGTTAAAGATACATGATGATATGCTGTGGGTCATACGAGGTGCGATCAGAAAGTTTCAAGACTGCGCCTATAAAAACCCGTACATTTATCTCAGGTATTAAATTCATCCATCACCCTCGAAGTAGTTCCCCTGGGAGTGAACACAACGATCCCAGCGCCGCTGCCAAGCCTGGAAGCATCCCTGGAAATCTTTCTTTGTCAGCCTGTCAAGCACCATCTGCGATTCTGCCTGAATCTCTTCTATCGTCTCAAATCTCCTTCCCTTGAATTTTCATCTTTCGGAAGAGGAAGAAGTCACACGGAGCTTAAAAAGGAAGTTGGGGTCGGTTCTTGCAAGATCTTTCAGCTCCTGACAAACGAGAAGTCAAGTCGATTCTGCTTCTGGTCCTCAGACAGGATGCGTCGCATGTGGAGTTCTTCCTTTAGAATCAGCTGACAGGTCCCATAGCCTATCCCAACAATGTCGCACAAGTCGTACAAGTGATGGTACGACGTCGATCTTCGTAACAGTTTCGGGCGTTGTGCTCGAAGATGGTCGTCCAGAACGCTCGTCATCATCGACAGAGGTTCGGCCATTTTTAAAACGTGAATGCCACACAAAAGTTTGTGCACGACCCATTGCGGACTCCCCAAATGCTTGCTTTAGCATTTCACAGGTTTCCGTAGCCGTTTTGGCGAGTCTTTGGCAAAATTTGATGCACACGCCATTCCGAAAGCGCAGGAGGGTCGGTGTAATGCACTACCAAAACGCCCGTAACTAAGAAACAAATGCTAATTCGATGATGCCGGCTGGCACGCCCCCGCGGACAGTAAGTTGTTCACCCTTGGCGTAAAAGCGTTATATCCGCTCGTATTTGCTGGGCGAATGGTAAACAAACGAAGGAGAGAAGCATATTAAAGGAAATGAACGAATAAGTAAATAATTAAACAAGCATTTTAGAAGAAATAGTGAGAATATTCTTGAAAGGATGAAAATAATAAAAGAAGAAATACAAATAACTGTCATTTGCTTCAAAGTAAGTCGTCACTTTTCACACCCACGCAAAGGGATTAAAAGAATTGTTATTTTTCCTACGGGAAAGTTAAAAAGAAAAATTTGGTTACATACATCGTCGTTTCTCGGAAGTTTCCAGAAGGCCAGCGCCTAGGGAGATCGACGAGGCTCTGGATCTCGAACCGAAGACCTGGAAATTGTAGAGACGGGTTCCCTGGCCACGCGAGTCGGGGGCTGTATCGATCTCTCGACCTACGGAGCTCAGGGCTCCTTCCTTGCAGGCAATCACAAGCACAACAGTCCAACCACGAGCGTGTTGTTCAGTCCTAGACAGAGAGAGGAGAAAATGTCACGATCTGAAACATCACACTTTCTTCAGGAGCTCATTTGAACAAGGATTAGGCACGCAAGACGTGCGTCATATACATGAGACATTAGAAATGTATATAAAATTTAAGGCGGAAACCTTAAAATAAATAGTCGCTTGACAGAAGAATACGAAAATGTGTTTCTGATTTCAGAGCGGCTATTTACGTAATACAACCAGCTCGGTTTGTGTGTGGTAAATGGCGGGCTCTGGTGAACACTGTGAGAACAATTGTAAACAAGTGAGTGACAAGGACGCGGTTTCATTTCGTCTGACTTTCTTACGTACGAACCTCCTCCACCATTTCAAAACCGTGAGGTGCTATAACGCACCAAAGAGAGCGCTGTTTCTGCACAGTACGGCGTCCGTCAGAAACAGATGAGTCACGCTTTTCGTTCTGTGGCACCAGAGTGTGTCCGTTCCCCTTCACAGTTTCTAACACTCTCGACTTGTGCTGCTCCCTGTCGACTCATTTACACATCATCCGATTATCTGGCACGTTTCAGAGTTACGCAACAATTAGAACAGAACAGTATCGACACGTCTAGCTAGTTAAATAAAATTTGCAACAAAGAAGAACACGCAAATGACGCTTAATTATAGCCAAATTGACTTCTACACAGCTACGGACGTGTTACTGTCCGACAACACATCGGGGGTATGTCGTAAACATGGCGTCTTGGCGCATTGGACTTAAAACGAAGAGGTTAGACAACGCTACCAAGTAACGGATATTACTTCAGTTGACATCAGAGTGGAACATCGGAACACGTGTACAGTGGACGTGCGATGTGCTGGGAGTGTCGTGGAATGCCGCTAGGGTTCCGGTGTAAAATCTTCATAGAATAAAGTAAAGTAATCTTCTTGCATATTACTCAGACTGTCCTGACGCAGACATCCTGCCTTTAAAACTACATAAATAAAACGTAAAATAACCTTCTATAAAGCAAATGAAAGGTTTTTGAAACCAGAACACCAGTTTCCGGGCCGAATTAGTCACGATAAGCTCCAGAAAAAAACAAGACGGACTTTTACAGCTCTTAATATTAAGGACTTTTGAGAAAAACCGACGCTCAGTTGACTTGAGAGTATTTTCCTGAAGTGTTATTACTTCTTACATAATCAGCACACAAAATGACCTTTTTAATACTGACGTGTTGTGATCTCTGTGTGGGAACTGAGCTTTTCATTCAGAAATTCTAGTGGTTAGGGTGACGTCAGACCAGGCTCTGTATTTCCAAAGAAATCAGCCCAAGGTCACGAGTTCATTTTATTGTTCATGCATGAAAATACAGCTCGTACTAGTACCTTCTTGGATAGGACAGCTCTCGATCAGTATCGGCACGCTGAAAATAACTGCGCCCTTCTGAAACTCCGTTTTTCATTTCCGAACGCGTTTACTCAGCTGACTAACATTATTAATCGCAACGACGCTAGGAGGTTTTCAATTTACAGCTCCAAACCTTTATCATAGAACTTGAATGAGTTATTACGGAAATTTGTAGCTTCAAATGAACCCTTTTGTGAATAATTTCGTGCAGAAGAGGCACGGAATGTTACTGACACACCGTTACCACTTAAATCTAAGGCAGTTTTAAGCTTAATTTCGAACACAGTCTAACACAACCAGTAATGCCATTTGTAAAAAACACTTGTAATCCGAACGTATCAAAAACATCATGATTCTGGACACAACAAAACTGAGGAGGAAGTAAATATATCCCCCTACACGCCAAATAGGCGCTTGGGGGGAGAGGTCGTGTAGCTCCTACTCATTCTTAAACCCAGCCTGCGGGAAAGGACCCCGGTACCCATTGTAGAGGAGGATGGGTGGGCCTCAGAGCCGGTCTGGATGCAGATGATACAGGAAAAAAAATTATCTGCTCCCGTCGGGGGTCGAACCCCGGTCGTCCTGTTCGTAGCCAGTCACTGTACTGACTCTTGGTCGCGGGCGATACTAAAATTTGCTTAGGCACGAAATCCGTTCATGCGACATGAGTTTATCAGGTAAATAAGATTTTATTTCAACTTGGAATTAAAAAATTACTATGTTTTATTCATATTAATAAAGTGTTTCGTAACTACAAGGAAGATTACACTTGATACATAAATTAATTTAATAAATTTTCTCTCTGTCTCCAGGCCATATTCCACTTTTTCCTATTTTCTGCCTCGCATAATGACTTCTTTTTCTTTAAAATCCCCG